TGTGTGTGTGTGTGTGTGTGTGTGTGTGTGTGTGTGTAAATTCACACACACACACACACACCCTCCTTATATGTAAATACTAGCTAAAACCTGTAAAACATTTGCAATTAAATTTTTATTGCAAAATGGTCCCAGGCAGCGGAAAGGTGGCAGGGACGGTGCACGGGGCGCTAGAAGCCCACCAGGCCCTAGGTTTCCCGAGCACGCCTGACCTTCCAGCGCTCCACGCACCGTTGGATCCGGCGGGTCCTGCCTGTGAGCTGGGGCTGCACCCGCGCAGCTAGCACCCTGCCTGGGTGGCCCTGGCAGCCCGCGGAGGGAAGTACCAGGGTCCCCTGCAGCCCAGGGGCTGCACGACCTGCCGGCAGCTCACCCCTGGCCACAGGAGATGCAGGCAGGCTCCAAGAGAAAAAAAAAAGATCAGGCCCCTCGCCACCTTTTTTTTTCCCCTTGGCAGATCCTGCCTGCACAAGCTGCCACCCGGGTGCACGGGCCCTGAGCCGTGGGGGAGCCGGTGCTTCCCTCCATGGCGGCAGTGCCCTCTGGGCAGCGTGCCAACGGGTGGGTGCTGCCCAGGGTGCACCGCCGCCACGGAGGGAAGCACCAGGACCCCCCACAGCTTAGGGCCTGCCACCAGCTGCCCCCCCCCAGCCCAGCCATGGGAGAGTCGGGCCAGCTTCAGAGCAGTCTGATTGGTTGTTTTAGTAAGAATTGTGATTGGCTGCCAAGGCAACCAGAGTGCTCTGGACAGACTGAAAAAGCCTATTATTATTATTAGAGATATACTGGAAAGGAACAAAAGCTGGAGTTAAGGCCTGATACAAGCTTTGAATTCCCGGAAACTCCCCACTTCTGTCGGCACCAGATCAAGGCCTTAAAACCCCCCGTGATGTGAAGTACTTCCTGATGGCTTTGATCCAAAGCCTATTTGAGTCGCAGGTAAGCTTCCCATTGGGATCAACGTTTTGACAGTGACTACCAGTAGGTCTACCCCATAAAAGCAGCCACGTGGGAGTGCATAGGAAGGGCACACAGCGAGTAGCTGGGGTCCTTATGTATCCGTGATGGGGAAGAGATTTGCATGAGAGAGGGAGAAATTATATCGGCCGCTTCCTTTATCACCCTGTCTCCTTGCCCTAATTACTCTGAAAAAGGGCGGTTCTGTTTCTTGACAACCCGGGGCCAGATGATTGTAGCAGTTTGCTCAGGTATCAGATGTCAAATAAGCCTCATGTCATCACGAGGCCTCTTAAGAAAACACTGCTTTAATTCATAATAATAAGAGGTAGCACTTCTACCGTACTTTTTTTTACCATAGCCTCTTGAAGGGCTGAGCAAGTGTTATGGCCCCTGGGAACCTGGATTGTCTGCACACTACAGACGGGGAACCTGCTGTGCAGAGGAGGGAAGGGCTCCTCTACCCTACACCCACGAGGCTGTGCGGGGAGAAACAGGGCAGGCTTGCAGAGCTAAGGGGACAGGTTAACTGTTAGGTTCGGCCCAACTCCTTCTGCCCAACAGGCTGACTCAAAAGTGCAATCTCAAGGTGGCGAGATCTTGCCGCTCTGGGGGGGCAGCTCCATTCCAGGTGGGGTCAACACGCCCCGTCTCACCTCCGAGGGGTACTGCCTTGTTCACTTGCCCGAGGTTGCACCATGAACCACCCCCAAGGCCCCTCAGACCCCCCTGCCCAGGTCTGTCCTGCACCATCCCCTGTCCCCAAACTCCTGGGGCGGCTGTCCTGCTTCCTACTGTAGGGCCAGCTTCCCTCGGTGTTCCTGTCACTGGAGCAGGGTGTCACGCGCTGCCTGCGGAAGCTGATGGAGACATGATGAACCTCAATGATGGGCTGGATAAGACCATGTCAAGGGCTGGGAGCCACCAGCCGTTCTCTACAACTATGGGGTGTTGTCTTAAAGAAGCGCAGTCTCAGCGCTACCCAAGAGTTGCCCAATTCCTGCTAAAATTCGTGGACACTGAGCATCTCGATTCCTTCGATGGCTTTGACCATCTCAGCCAGAAGCTTTGTCCATGTCCGTGGTCACTGAGGTTTGAAAATGGGGATCTCTTTTCTTTTTGTCAGTTTTATTTATTAATGAATCCAGCTTATCAAGGAACAAGTTGAGCATTTCAACATACAGCCAACCCCCTAAGCCACGCTTTAAAAAAAGACCATTTTCATTCCTCAGCAGCGCTCCCTGAACCCAAGTCAGGGTCCGTAGAGGAGAGCCTTGTGTCAAAACTGGGGATTTCTAACCACAATTACTAAAGGGGAATTTAGCAAGCTTAGTAGATCCTTTGATTTCAAATTCACTCTGAAATGTCATTATATGTGAACGGATTAGGATCGCAGGAAACAAGGACTGGAAGAGACTTCCCAAGGTCATCTAGTCCAGCCCCCTCCTCAAGGCAGGATTGTCTGTGCCTAAACCATTGCACTCGAGTGTCTGTCCAACCTGCTTTAGAAAATTTCCAAGGGTGGAGATTCCTCACCACCTCTAGGTAGCCCACTCCAATGCTCGACCACCCTCATAACCAGCACGTTCCTCCTAATCTCCAACCTCAATTCCTCTGCTGCCTCTGGAGGGCATTGTTCCCAGCCCTGTCCTGTATCAGCACAAAGAAAAGCCCATCTCCATCCTCTCTATAATCACCCTTCAGGTAACTGGAGACTGTTACCAAACCTCCCCTCAGCCCTCTCTTCTCTAGACTAAATAACCCTACCTCTTTCAGCCTGTCATCATAAGTCTTGCTTCCCAAGCTCCTAAACCTTTGTGTTTCCCGCACTCAGCACTGTACCTAGACTCCTGGCAGCACTGGGTGAGCTTCTAGTATCCGGCCACCCTTCGCCAGAGATAATGATAATAATAATTGTTTTTTTCATCAGTTTTGGGCCTCTGTCCGGTTCGCCCATGCCTGTGTCTGGCCCTGCCTGCACTGGGCTCTCCAATCTGTCCACATCCTTCTTGAAGTGTGGGGACGGCAGGAAAACGATGTAGTTCTCAGGCCTTACAGCACCACTGGAGGCCTCAAGTAGCTCAGGTAATGGGAAAGGCAGTGTAGTAGAAACAAGTCCGGACAGGGAGTAGGAGGCCCGAAAGGAGCAGTGTAACATTCCTTGAAAGCTTTGAAATATCCTGTTTAGTAAAGTGAGACTGAGGAGAGTGGAAGGAAACTTGGAGCTTGAGTCGTCATTGTCCTACGGCCTCAGGCGTGAGCCTACCTGTTGCGGGGGCTCTAGGTGGGGCGGCCATCGTAGAGGACAGTCCGGTTTTCTGCTACTCTGTCCTCTGTGCTGTACTGATACGAAACCTGATGCCGTTATTTTTCTCTTGAAGAGAAAAAGAGAGGACATAAAGGTGTCCGGTTTTGTATCAATAGAGGACAACCGGACTGTCCTCTCTGATGGCCACCCTAGCTAGAGATTTCTATGGGGGCTCTAAGGTTTCTGTCAGCCAGCTTTGTATTCCTCCTGCAGGACACCTGGATGCAAATGTGAGCTGGGGATGTTTCAGGGGCAGGCTGGGTCTTGTCTTAGAAGAGGAGCGGGTGAGTGAGGTACCCAGCTTCCCTGCAATGGATGGCCCCTTCCAGGGCATTGGCTTGGCTAGAACAGGCCCCGAGAGTGCGTTGAGACCGCATCCGCAGAACTGGCCCTGC